TAAAAGAGGCTCAAACTTGGTGGGTGATCAGCATTCGGCAAGAGCTATGACCACACAAAATAAGAAGCCCCTAGCTATCATGGTTCTTGAGTTACAGGGGACCCGCTGCTTTTGCGGAGTACTGTATATACTAATGAAAAACAGAGTAGTTTAACGTCTTTATTAATAATAAAAGAATAATAATAACGACAGCAGTAGCAGAAGAATACAGAAGAAAGATAAAACTGAATTAGTCATTGTTTTTGTTGAATAATTAACAGAAGTACAACTTTTGTTTTAAAACAATTGATCGCGTTTATCCATCGCTAAATGTGGATCGACTTGTGCTTCGCAAAATTCACGTTGATTATTTAAAATATCATCAAACGAAATATCTTCATTTGTACCACGTAAAACATCTAGCATCAATTTTGAACTATGTAAACATGGAAGACGACCAATTTTTTTTGCTAATTCGATTTCTGTTTTTAATTTTAATGGTGCCTGAATACCCAATACACTACGTGCCATATTCAAATTAAAATTATCACGATTGTTTACATAGTTTGTTTCGCGGTTCTCCAATATATGCCCTTGCGATAAATTTGATTTAACAGATGTTAAACCTGTTACTATTTTATTGGGTAAACCTGAGATGTTGGTTGTAGAAGTATCCATCTAAAAATACCATCTAATAGTTTCAAAAAGGTTTCTTTATTTAATTAGATAGCGATGAGATATTTGTCATGCTGAGACAGATGACAAAACTTTATAATTTAAGTAAAGAAATACCGAGTGCTCACTTAGTGTCGCATATTCAAATAGCAAAATAACATTTTCTCTGTCCAATTAATGCTTCAAATTTATTTGTTATAAAGTAGTTTACTGAATTCTATCAGAACTAGAAAATATCTTATTCTCATAATAAGATCAAAGTGAATAGAATATTCGCGTCTTCATATGTTTTCTATTGACGGTCAGACATATTAGCTACCCTACCCATCAACTTCATGAAAATTTCATGGTGCCGCCGTCGACAGCAGAAAATTTCACGGGCTTGGAGCTATCGATGATTCTGAATATCTTAAGCATACATGATTAAGCTGTTCCCAAGCAAAAAGTCGGCTAACGTCTGTACTGACATCAACAGATTGTCTTTTCGAAATTTCCTGTTATTTTTTGACAGCTAATGTAGTCATAGTGAGAGAGAGAGAAGCACATCTGGAATAACTGTCATTAACAAAGATTAGTCTGATTAGACAATAAGTAGCAAATGAAATTGAGCCATGCTTTACCGGCTTTGTGTATAAGCTAAAATCCGATACGAACCGCCATGATGATGCAAGTTTTGTAGATGACGTGCATTAGCGCGTTAGAATTTGTGAAAACATAGGTGCCTCGGCTGCCGCAAATTCTTAGCTTGAATCTTTGTTACTTTCGTACACACGTGTGAAGTTACGCATAAGATATATGAACTTACGAGGGAAGGCAACCAAGTGTTCCCTCGCTTTTAAGCTGAGACTCAGTTTACCGGGGGTAATCGAGATGCTGATTCCGCATTTCATAGTGGTTTGGGCTAATTTTGACTTTAAAGCTCCGGTTTTTAAAGATCTTGGTTTTAGTTATCGAAGGCCTTTAATCAATATCGCTGCGTATATGTGTTAGACATGACACACTCCAACTTCAGTTCAACAGGCCTTCGATAAGTTGAAAAACAAGGCAAAAAAAGAGCAATTTTTACACTATACTGCGTAAAAAAGCCGGTTTTTTCTCTCTTTTTTTAAGTTTTTGACGTAGAAAACTCGCTCAGAATCTGTCATGAAACCTTGAAAAGTGGTTTTCTGTAGGTTTCGCGACGCACTCTATCAACTGGACCGATCAAAAAAAATTTTTAGCTCAAATGGTTTTTCGGCTTGGAAACCAAGATCTTCAAAACCGGGGCTTTAAAGTCAGAATTAGCTCAAACCACTATGAAATTCGGAATCAGCATGCTCGATTATCCCCGGTCAACTAAGTCTCAGCTCAAAAGCGAGAGAACACTTGGTGGCCTTCCGTCGTTAGTCGCGGTATACTAGCAATCAACGTGGTGTAGTTCAGTTTAACACGTTGATTGGAGCACTTCCGACCAAATTTCAAGTATGCGACTAGAAATTATAATACTAGTGGCAATAGAAACAAGAAGCATACTGGATCTTGTGGCTACGATTATCACAGGTATAAGATTTTTGTTAACAGAAGAACCAGAGTAAAAAAACCAACAACGTGTATTCCAAGGTAAAACAGCACATAACTTAAAAAACAATTATCGTTTATTACTATATCATTCTTCTCTGAATTTTTTAGAATGCCTACATTTCTTCACGAAAATATTTCAGAACTGATATTGATACCCAAAAAATGTATATAAAAGTTTCTAAAAGAATTATTATCTAATCCTGGAAAATATTATTAAGAAATAACTGTTGGTTTCAAACTGAAACTTTTTTGTTCGTATCATTAGATAAGTTTAACTGTTTCATCTTTTCCTAAAAGCATGACAAAAAGAGTTGCTTCAGCCGTGTAACTTTTACATTTTTATTCTTTCTCTTTTATACTAGAAAATGACGTCTCAAAATGTAAAAAGAAGCGCTCATTCTTCTTTAATAAGAGTATAGATCTAATATGAATACGAAAGAACGGAAAAAAGTTGTTCTTTTATAATTTTATTCATTTATTTTTAATCGTGGAATCGTATGGTTTCATCGTACAAATAAGACTGTTATGAATTTTGCATAAGTATGACCAATATGAACGGAAAAAGTGTGTAAATTTTAAGCAATAAATTACGTGTTATAAACTGTGTTTATATGTTTTCCTCGAAGCGAACTAAAAAATTATATTAAATATCTTTGCAAATATAGTCACGTATATTATATATAAAAAACGTAATTTCACGAGAACTTCACATACTGAAAAACAATTATTCAATCATAAGAAACTCTATCTTTGTATAATTACATAAACATCGAGAAAAAACACAGTATTCTAGTTCTAACATCTGTGGGTATTATTCTTGAATGAGTGACTCATTTGGCAAACAACACAGTTCTGATTACTGAAAAACAATCTCGATAGTATGTTACTCAATATATTATTTTTACGCATCTAATTGCGCAGTCGTGTAGGATAAGACGAGAAAGAATGAACTGTTCGATCTCGTTGTGGTTCGACAGAAATATCGATAACCATTCTACTCACTGATAAAAGTCATGTTGTGAAGGAATTTATAGATAAATCTAAATTGTGCATCGTGTTAGCTCTAATTTAATTATCGATCATATGATAATGTATAGATATAATGTATAGATTTTGAAAGATTTCGATACTCGATTAAAAGTAAGCATAAAAAGTCCATTTAGAGACGTTATTTTGTACAGAATATCAATATAGTAAGTGCTAAATAGGTCGTATATCTACTAAGGTAGTTACATCATCATCATCACTCGAGAGCTCAACCAAAAAATGCATAAATCACATGCAAACTTTTTAGACGTAATAAATATATATATCGTCAGAACATATGTATATACATTGCTTATGGTAAGAACAAAGATGTGAGAAGTTCGTAAATATATTATTTTTACGTGATGTGTCCCATACAATGTTGTGTCAAAATTAAGAGAAGAGAAAAGAAATCATTCTTCTCTTCGCATTTTTTTTTGAAGACATCTTTGTTCTCCACATTCTCTATTCCCTGGAAAAAAGGTTTTTTTTCTCTAATCTCATGATTTATACATGCACGTATATATAAATTATACAAGTTCACGTGAGTGACAACAAAAAAAAAGAACTTTGTTCCCTTTTTTTTTTCTCGCAATATCGGTGTACGTAGATAGATCATGTGAAAGGAAAAAAAGCATCCTTTATAAATAGAAGAACTGTACAAACTATGTACAATTGAACACATTTCTCAGTGTCCTTCACTTCATAGAATAAAAGTGACTCAATAAAGTCTAAATTTCTATTTTTTGTTTTTAATATATTTTGTTATTTATTCTTTATATACAAAATAATAACAGACGAAGGTTTTTGCTTTTATACACGTAGAGGACATTTTTATTTTGATCCTATTGATTATTATTATTCAAACAAAGAAAAATCAAAATCAATGCCTTTCTTAGGACGGGACTGGCGTGCTAATGGAGAACAATGGATTAAAAGTGACCTTGGATCATGGGAACGGCAACGGAGTTTATCATTTAGTGGATCGGTAAGTACATTTTCAATACGACGATTGTGACAATAGGAAAGAAACGAATTAGAATTTTAATTCTATTTTTTGAGATAGAAAAATTAGACTGAGAAAGATGATATAAAGAATTTTGACTGTTTTTTATTTTCTATAGTCATCATCCAATGCAAGAAGCATTAGTGATGCTCTTGATGCACTGGAAATGGCAAATTCTGTTTATAATATCAGACGTTTCAACTATGTATCAAAAGTTAGTACAAAATAATTGTTAGGTTGTGCTTTATCATTTTTCTGTTATTATAATGTAGGTTGTTCAACTTCTTTCCAAAGAAAAACTTGGTGAATTAAGTGGTAATGCTCAATCGGCAGTGTTTAAAATTTTAAAACAAATGATAGACATGGGTATGATAGAATTTCTTTTTGAAACTAAATTAAGATCGTTAGTCAAACGTATAGTCTAGTGTTCATCTAAAAAATATTAAAATCAATCATATTTTAGTGATTAAAACCGGTCAAAATATATCGATAATTCAACGTATTCTTAATCAATTTCGAAATTCAATTAGGGATTCGTATCCATATTTTTATTATATTGGAAGTGAACAATGTTGGCGACGAAATATTCATACACTTACTCGTATGCAAGATGCACTCAAGGAAATTGAAGCTAGTTTGGTACGTATATCAAAATCATCATTATATTTAAACTTTTTAAGTTATTGTATTCAATATTTTTAGACAAAAACAAATAATGAACAAGATTCATCAGAACTACCAACTTTGGATTGTCTTCCAATTGAAATGCAACGTGAAATTGTTCGACGATTAGATAATGGAAATGATATAATCAATGTTGGATTATTAAATTCTAATCTTTATCGTGTAACCAAAGAAATATTGATATGGCGAGAACTGTGTTTGTTTCATTTTGGTGTGAATGAAAATATACGTGAAAGAATAATGAAACTTATTCAACATAACGGTGATGAAAACAATTTTGATTGGAAAGATGTTTATTTCAGACTGAAAAGGTAAAAATATTTCAAAAAAATGTTTTATATTGAATTAATAGAATCTGATTCTAGACGATACGGTCATCGAGAAGTCTATGCCGAAATGATTCATCAGTGTCAAATATGTAAAGGTTTATATTGGCAAGATTCTGGTCATTTATGCTTATATGAAATGGCTGATAAAAATCCATCATCCATACCAATTTCACCTACAAAACTTGTATCACTACTTGCACAATAAAAAGAAAACAATTATTTTTAATATTTTCACACTATTTGTTTTGTACATACAAATTTTATATTGTATTTTCCTTTTGTGCGTGCAATATAGACTATAGTCTTATTGATAAGAAACGTAGCCATCTCGAGATGTGTGAACAGATATTCCAAAATCAGTCATATTTTGCTGTTATTTTGATTTATATATATTTTTGCGATTATATTTTCTCATTGTGATTAGTGGGTGCGACTTCTGTATTTACTTCTTTTCTTATCCTGTTTGCTAACCTATGTAGATATACTCATTTTTTTATGTATATAGGTTGCAATGTTCATAATAAAGAAAAAAACAGTGAGTTTCAACGTTAGTGAGAGTAAATGCAGTGATTATCAATAATACCTGAAGAAACACATTATAGTTGTCGGTCAGGATTCATATTGATGTATTTCTTACGTTTCTCTGCCACTCTTAAAATACGGTAGTTTTTAACATTTCAAAGAACCGCTATTACTGTATTGTTTTAGAATGCAATGTTACATTTATAGAAGTGGAAACGTTCTTGGCGTCCCGGAACAAAAACTATTCTTCATCAACCATCGTTTAATTGAAATAGTTGTAGAATATTTTTCAGACGGTGGATAAATAATGTCTGGTAGATTGGATTGAGCTGGTTTTGCTTGTTTGTTAGTCTCTATGACAGGTGAACTTTCCAAAACAGCAGGATTCAAGTCAGTTATTGGATGATTGATCAGTAGTTTAGATTTTTCCTCACGTTTCACTCGTTTAGACATAGAAGTTAATGTTTGACGGTTCGATTTTTTTCCAGATATTGACTTTGATTTTTTTCCAGTTTCAGCAAGAGTACCAGAATATTCAATTTTATATCCAAGAATTTTACTTACTTGTTCTCTGTTAGGCCATTGATCATAAACTATACAACGGTATTTATCGGCGGTGTTTACTGATGATACACTTAAACGTTTAGTTTCTACTGAAGATTTATTTTGTTCATTGACTAGTTGAACAGATGGTATACTTGTATCTCCATAATTTTGTGCAGATGCTGACGATACTATTACCGGTGACACTCCAGAAATATGTTGTGTAAGCGTTTTCAGAATTGGTAATTCTTTTTCATATTTTACCAAGTTATTATATTTTTCTGGAAGAAAAATCTCTTGACTATGATCAGCTGAAACATTCGTGTCTAATGTGTACAACAATGGGCAATATTTGATGCGAGCTATGGAATACTTTTTTATGAACGAAATATCCTGACTGCTTTGTCGAAAATTGTCGATGGCGATCACTGTTGGCGTTGATGCACTTGCCGGAACTGTTGGCTGATTCGATGATATACAACGATCAAATTGATTTTTATGCAGATCTCTTAACCGATAACATTCATTTACTCGATAGGATAGTTCTTGTTCGCGTTCAACACGCAATTGTGAAAGTTTATTTTTCCAATCCGTACACGTATAATTTGACAATGATGGAAACTGCTTATTATATCCAAATCTATTAAATGTAGCATGGCTGATATCGTTTGTAGTTAACATTATTCACAGATCCATTTTAAAGTTATTTTGAGTACACTACGGTAGCCTACTAAGAAATGAAATGAAGTTCATCCTAGAAAGAATATATATAACTGAAATGATGTGGAAATATCAGTATGCGACTATCATCTATCTCCTAAAAATATGTGTCTCTTTTTAAAAGACTGCAGCCGTTTATTGACTTAAAGTGTGTTTCATAAAAAATCTTAGCCAAAATTAAGTTAGATATATCTAAGACAATCTTCTTGGCACACCTTAACTTTTTCTCAAAGTTTTGATCAATTTGTATTTTAAATGGAAATATAGTAAGCCCGATATAGAGTAGAATTTTTAGCCTTTTTTTTACAATTATGGCATTGTTTTTCTCAACACACTCGAAAAGTGTGCTTTGACAGTCCTGGTATTCTAGATGATTGAAAAAATGCCAGAATTCATGAGAATCCGATTTTGTTGAGAAAGACGATACCATAATTGTAAAAAATGGTTTTGAAAATGATTTCGGTTGATTTGCACATCATTAAATATGGCGTAGAAAGACAATTCTAATTCACTATTTAAGTATGATTTTTCCTTTTGTTTTGGTTCATTTATAGTATCTGCAGAAAGACTAAATAGAGTTTCAGCTTATGCGACAAAAGTAGTAATGGAATCACTCTCTTGACTAAAGTTTGTTTTAATATTTTTGTGAAATACATCTCTAATCATACAATAGTCTTCACTATTTTAACAGCCGAAGATGAAATCATAATGTAATACTAGAAACTTACAAAACTTCACAATATCAAAAAACTGTACTATTATCAATCCATTATGATATCAATTCACTTTTCTTTTAATAAAAGTAATCCCGTAACGTTAATTTAATGTCTTTTTTTTTATTATTATTATAAATCATGCAGTTCATCTAATAGAAATAAATAAGAGAATAACAAAATTAAAATCTACGTGGCAAGACCGCTTGTCAATTTTGTATCGAGGCAATAGAGAGTGCGTAAAAATATAAACGGAAATGAAAATTTTCTATAAAGAAAATTTTATTTGCTCTCATAAAAGAGTTTTTAATTAGCGTTTGTCAAATGCCATTTTATTGTTATTTAAAATTGTTTACCTTATCATCATGTTCAAAAGTAAAATCAAAAAAAGCATTATGTGTGACTTCCGTTTAAAACCATGGCAAAAAAAGTATATCCGCATGGAAGTTATTTTTTTTTTAAATTTTCTATAGACATGTCTGTTATGATGAAGTATTTTTCATCATATCATTCCGAATCGATTACTGTACGCACATTTTTTTTCGATAAAAACGACAATATCTATTCCAACGCGAAAAAAAACCTCGAACTCAATTGTATTTTCAATTATAGTTATTATGTATTTATTTTGAAATATGAGTGTTCGATATTCTCTTTCGTTTTCCTGAAAAAAAAGTACTCATAAATGTTATAAGAAAAAAATCTTGTCGTATATTTACATCATCTGCTCAAGAATCTCAGATTTATCATATTTCAAGTCATTTGAAAAGTAGGCATTATGAATACATCAGCTTCAACGATAAATTATAAACATTAATATATTAAAATATATCGTCTCTAATGGACGAGACGAAATAAGAATTATGCATATGGAACTGATAATATCAATTATTTATGGGATATCAGTCAGACATCCCATAAATAATGATTAAGCACGTAGCAAAGATAACAGAACAATATCTCGATTATCATGTTTCAACATTTTCAAAATAGTTCAAAGAATTCGTTTTTATTAATGATGAGAGCAAGTTTCTTATTAACGTAAGAAATGAGAAGTAGCAACTGAGTGATGCCAAGAGAAAATGGGAGGAAAGCGATGACATTAGAAATGAACCTATAATTCAATGATTTTGTGTTTAACTTTTTCAAGTGCATCTTTAAAAATTGGTCTTCAGAGTTCCACTCTAAATTTTATGATGAACCAATTTTGATCTGCCTAATTTGTAAAGGTCATCGAGTTATTTTTAGAAAATAAATTTTTCGATGACTTACACACAGTTTACTCACTGATTTCTTGCAGAAGTATAGCTTTTCAGAGTACAGTTTCTGTGGATTATCGAAAAGTTATTTGATAGTTGTTAATAATTTTTCTATAGATGGCTCGATTCACTGGCTGAATCAGATTTGTTCATCATGACATTCAGAATGGTTCTTTAGAGATCAATTTCTCAAAGATCCACTTGAAAAAGCTGCAATGGACAACATATTCGTGAATATCATCAAAAATAAATTACAATAAAGCAGAGTTGAATGATTTATCACTAAGGAATGTTCTCTCGTAAGCATCTCTTCTATTGTTTTTTTATTTATACATAGTCGATCTCTGGATTATTAAAATATCTTTTTGATAATAACAGTTAATAACAAAAAAATAACAATGAAAGTAGAAAACTTTGACGGAGAAAAAGCCATATCAAAAAGTATTTTTGAATACAAAAACGAGATATATAAATATGATATGATTATTAGAGAATAAACATTTTTGGAGTAAAAGAATAGAATGAATGAAAACCGAAAACAAAACATAATTTATACAAAAACAGGCGTGATATAGAAACTATTATTAAGAATAGTGAGACAAGATTCTTGATTACAATAAAAAAAAAAGAACGTTTGCTTGATTGCAACATAGTTATCTGACAATTTTGTCAAATCTTTTTTTTTCTCATGTTCGAGGATTTTGTCCAATTTTTTGTAAATATTTAATAGCTTCTTCATACACGTTCCGTTTTTGAATTAATTCTCCACGTTTTTTCTCTGTTTCCGGATCACCAGCCATCAAAACGTCAAGATTTTCTAAGCTAATATTATTTAATATTGATGATTTTAAGTCAAGTTGTTGAAATTGTTTTCGAACAATTAACCATTCACAACGTTGTGGATAGGATAAAATAATACGTTTACAAATAATATCACATGTTGCCAATATTCGAATTTTATATTCAAGAATTTCTTCAGTTAAATCGGATGAAGAAGTTTGAAAAATCGAATTATTGGATGATGACGTTATTAAATTTGTTGTGCCAATAGAAGAAGAGACAGAATTAGTATGTGGACGAGTATCTAAAAAAAGAAGTAAAATATTTAAAATTGACCAATAGTTTACAAGAAAACTTCTAAAAAACTCCCTTAGTAAAAAGTCGTACTACTCATCTGGAAATATTATTGCGAAGACTTTGTTATAAGAAAAGAAAATATATGGTTCAAGATAAGAGATTAAGTAGAAAATAAAATAGCTAACCGTTATTCAATGGGAAAGATTCATCAGATACATTGTCATCAATGGTATTTTCCTGAGTATTTTTGGACCACAAAACGTTGGACAGAACTGCAAAGATAAATCAACGAAATACTTTTTGAGGTTTCCAGTAAAATAAAATAACTGAATTATTGAACGAGTTACAGCTTCAAATTTTTTCTAAAGGAAGGCTAAATTTATGGTATAAAAAGAGTAACTACGCTAGAAAAAAAAACTAAATTTAATGCGTGTAGAAGATTCAAAACGGATATCGTCTCTCTATTTGTTAAGTACGATATAAGTGTCAGAAAGGATAAAAATATGTTGATAAACGTTGTCTACCCTTAAATTTAATACATACATGTTGAAACAAAACTGCTACGTGGTACAGATGATTGATTTGCATTTGTTCGCAATATTTTGGCTGCAGATGGTGATTCATCATTTGTACCATCGTTTTGACGTTTCAATGATGATGCTGATGTTGTTACTGTTGTTGAAGGTAGTGCTGAATATACAGTTCTTGCGTTTGTTGTTAATGGATCTTTTATACGTATATCTTGTTTCATTTGCTGCAACGTCCCACGATAAATGTGATTATCAGCGTATACAAATGCTTCTTCCATTTCTAACAACAATTCTAATTCGGTATAACAATCAATTTTCAATTTTTTTTCAAGTTCATCATGAAGATTATACATTCGTTGTAATAAATTTGGTCGAAGATAGAAAAATTTTTCGATTATATTTGATATTACATGACTAAATAAAAAGATAAACTGATAAACAAAGATGGTTAAAATAGCTTAAAAAACATACTTTGTTTTTTCAATCATTGTACCCAGATATTTTTCCATCGGTTGACGAATATTTTTAATATAATTTAGACATACGGTCTTTGTTACACGAAATAAAATATAATCACTTGGTTCTGGACCCTGACATGCGTACATTGCTTCTTTAATAAGACTAATTAAATTGGTTTCTTCGATTTTTGCTTGATGCATTTTATTATAAAAATCATCGTTCATTTCATGAATGAGATGGTATAACGGATTATTAATTTGGGCACCTTCTTCCACTTTGTGTAGTTCTGTTCGAAATTTTTGCATTGATGTAAATAACAATTCTGTTATATGTTTTGTTCTTAATTCAGTTGTTAATAGATTATAGTCATCGATACCATGATTATGAAATTGTTGTTCGATATCTTGTATTTTTAAGCGTAAACATTCAGTCAAACGTGGAATGGAATGTTTTATATTGTGAACAAGTTCTTTTGTTAATAGACGAGCTAATGCTGGACATCCACGTCTTTCAGACGGTATCGATTGGAATTTTGATGATTTAACAAAAAATTGTTCTTCTTTACGGAGAGCTTCACCTGAACGAAACAATCGACATATTATAAAGTACAAGTACATTTAGACATCTAACTGATACAATATTCATTTAATATACGGATTAAAACAAAAGCGTCTTAGAACGGTTACTGTCAGTTAAATCTATACTAACCACCATCTTGTATGTTTTCTGTTGAATCGATTCCATTTTCAACAAAAGAAGACGAAACAAAATGATCTCAGAACGAGTTAAAATTTTTCGAAAAATGACATTAGATTTTTAACATGGCCAAATTAAGAAACATAAGTAAACATACATGAATACACAGATTCGAAATGAAGAAAACGTTTTAGTGGATCAGACTATAGATATGGATACTCAAAGAAAGCGAGTCAAATAAACTATAGGAATGTAGAAGAAACAAAAACATACTAAGTTCAATGTTATTATCAATATCTTCCTGTGTTCGACATTTGACCATATGATAACCATGTTTTAGTGGTATTCGTTTATTATTAAAAACGTCTAATAGTCTATCTTCGGCACCTCGATCGACTAAATCAACTTTTGTTAATATTCCAACTAAAATGAGATAAATGGATGAATATTTATATTAAAAGTACTTCTTTTTCTTTCTTACTTGTTCTTTCTCCCTCTGCATCATACATTTTAGCAAATTTGACGGCAGCTGAAGTTTCAATATCATTATTACTTTGTATAATAGCCAAGATGATTGTTGATGGTTTATTGAGATATTCAGCGATAAGCTCTTCAATAATTTGCACAGACGATTTATCTTGATTCGTTGATGCTATCTGAATAATGCCCGGTAGATCAATCAATCTAAAAGAGACCAGTACATACAGTGTGAAAAGTATGCGTACAGATTGCGGATTGCTATTTTAGAAAAATGAAAGTGAATAACTTACGTCAAATTTGGTAACCATGGCGCTTGAACATTCAATGATAAAACTTGTTTTGATATTTGGTCTCTTCCTTGTGTAATACGGTCTTGCTCACTCTGTATATAATGGCCAATATCATGGTGATTTGAAATATTATCTTTTATTAATTTATTTTTGCTTTCTAATGAAGCATGCCAGTTATTTGCTTTTCGCATTCGTATCTCTAATGGACCTAAAAGATTGGATGAAAAGAAAAATAAAGAAAATAAAATTGAATTTCTTTAGTACAGAAAGTGTTCAACACTACTTACATTTTGTTGTCATGTGCTGTCCACCTCGTGGCAAATTGATACCCGATAAGGCCTCAAGCACGCTGCTTTTTCCTGAGCTTTGTTCACCTAAGACGACGATCGATGGTAGATCAATAGTGGTATCAACATCAGAAATTTTTGATCGAACTATAATAGAGGAAGAATAAGAGTGGAGGAAAAACGAAAATATAACGTTTATACTTTGATCAATTGTGCGTAACAAAGGTTCAATTTCTTCATCATAACTTTCCGATAAAGCTAGTAATGGATTATCTTTAGTTACTACAGTAGCTCGGTTACGAACAGACATATCTGAAATTAAGGATGAAAATATAAATAATAGCTATGATCGAGTTGGATAATTAACAGGGGATTGTATCACGAAAAAACTTAAGTCAAAGTCTAGACTTAAGTGTATAAAATTAGCACGTAAGTGCACATAACGAAGACTTAAGTCTAAATTCTGACTTAACTTTTTTTATGATACGGCTCCCGAATGCATGTACGTTCTGAACCACAAGTAACTTCCCGAACAATGGCAAAACTCAATAAGGGTTAAGAGAAACAATCCTTGTTTTTTTGGTCTATCTAACTGATGAAATAATGGACAAAAATTCCCTGTACAGCATATACAAGTCTTGTACTGTTTCAGAGATGTCTCGATAAAGATTATGGCTAAAGATAGCCCATGATTTTTCGACCACTAACCGACGATCAGTACAAAGACGCCTGTCATTGATGACCACGATTCATTGTATTTCTCCAAAACTATCACTACATGTACATTGTTATTACTGTCTAAGCGTACTTACAGCCTAAATCCAACTGATGACGTTCTTAGTCATCATGGTCTAACGACCATGCAATGTCGTTGCTACGGATTCCGTCGAATTTTTGGGGCAGTTTTATTTTGCAAAAGAATTCTACATTGCAAAAGAATTCTAATCAATAATTATCCATTCAAAATAAAACTGCCCCAAAAAAAACGTCTAAGAATCACGAAAGAAAGCATTTTTTTTTTCTTGGCCGTTAGACCATCAGCATAGATTGTCTTTTTATCGCTGTCTGTAGTCATGAGACTAGTAATACCTATGCCTGGACTATTGCACATTGTAAATTCGGGAATTTACTAAAGTTGCTGGCAATTTAGTCATTTCAGTCGTTAGTCGGCCAGAAAAGCGGACGACTGGGCTTGTCTATCAGTCTAGTGACTAGTTATATCAAGTGCTTAAATAATTGAAAAACAACAAGTCAAAGTTACAAAAGTAGATGCATCCGAAAAAAGTAAAAAATATACCCCTTCACAAATGAGTAATTTGAAAGGTTAAATTGTCATCATTTGTCTAAAGAAAGCCAATACTAAATCGGCGGAAGAGTGCATTAATATACGCAGTATTGAGATGTACAGATGAAGTGAAGCTCTGCTATGCGTAAAGACTCTAGTCTTGAATGTGACGCTTTCTGTTTTCCAGAAAGATGACAAAGCCACAAGGAGCACTTCAAATACTCTCTGAGGACTTCCTTTCTGTGGTGGATCTAGAAAAAATTTAGGATGGTGGCAAATTTGTATAAAAGAATAGGTTTAGTAATTTTATTTAAGAGTTTCTACTAGAACTTTCGAGACAACACGATTAGGGGTGCTACTTTACTTTTACTAATTATTACATTATCCGGTAAAAGTAATAAACGTTTGTTACTTATTACCGGTAAAAAGATAATAAATTTTGTTGTTTTATTACTTATTACTTCTTTATGTAATAATTTTTCATCATCTTACTTATTACTTTTTATTACTTTTCTTCGTATTAGTAATAAGTAAAGTAATAAGAGATTATTACTTGAAAAAAGTAATAAGTAATAAGATTTATTACTTGTTTCCAGGTAATAACTAATACGTTTTATTACTTATCACTTGGTAAAAGAATAGTAAAGTGACACCCCTAAACACGACTTCTACTTCTTTTTTTACCCTGTCTCGTTAGCTATAGTTCGAACCAAGTTAAGCTTTTAGTAAAACCGATCCTTTAAAAACGCGCCACATACACCGTTCAACTTTGTGACGCGCACTTCTCTATCAACGGTTCGTCTGATCAGTACGGTTCCTTCGAACTTTATGTTTGTTATATTGTATAGATGTGCCCTTCTGCTGGCAAAAATTTGTACGAGCTAAGATTCGGGAGATACATCAGAAACAGGTGTTTTTTACATTATGTTGATCAATGTATTTATCATCTTAGTCATAGGCATACCAAGATAATTAAACAATCGTTTATATCTTACGAGGTATACCAGCTCTAGGGCGCCGACATTCAGACGCAACGACAGTTTAGCTTTAAAAGCTCTCACGCCGTTAGAGACCTGCATGGACAATTTTTTTTTGTCCATGTCCGTGGACAAAAGTGTTTTTCTGTCCATGTCCATGGACAAAAGTTTTTTTTCTGTCTATGCCCATGAGTTTGTCCATGAAATGTTCGCGTTTTTTAAATACGTTTTGCGTATGAGAATTTCATTCCTGTTTAGAGACCTGCATGGACAATTTTTTTTTGTCCATGTCCATCTAATGCAGGGCTCTACACGCCGTACCAAGTTTGTTTATACGAAAATTTAATCATTATCCATCATACTTTAACAAATGCACTCTTACTGAATGCTTGTGTCGTACATGCGCCCAAATGTCGGCGCTTGCTATACTATGTAATCATTATTGGGTAAATAATGTTCTCTGTACCGTGTGTATGTGTTTGTAGAGCATTCCTATGTGCAGATGCCATGGATCTTTTCTCTATATCTAATATCAATTATAAACTGCCATCTGAATACCGTCGTCAGAAGTTGCTTCAAGTTAACCGCGCCAAAGCTGTTACGTTAGTAACTGTGCTCAGACTTTTTATTTCCGATCAAACAAATAGTTCGGGTAAAATAACTGGATAGCTAACTACCACAAGCCAAACTGCACAAAATATGCCTAGAAAAAAGTTCAAAGGTTGACGGATGATTAGATTAGTGTGATTGAGCAAGTAACATCAGTTTTGGGTAATGAGGTTGTTTCACGTATACGGATTAAACGCTCTGATAGGCATTAATAATATAGGCATTAGTCATCATCACTATGTCGCAATATTGTTAATGGTTGACTAAGATAGTTACTTCAAAACATGCTAGTAAAAATAAAGACAAAAAATAACGCAGTCATTGTTAATTCACATCAAAATTGGTTTCTCCTGTTTGCAGTTTAATTTAGCTCTTTGCATAAAACTTTTTTTCTGTTCAATAAGTACACTTTTTTTCTTGTTCAATAAGTACATTTATTCGTTTACAACACTATGTATACCTCATACTCAGTTTCTGATATTCAAGAGTTACTTACAAAAGTAATTTGCACAAACAATTTTCACTTCACTACAAAACCGCACATTTCAGCGAGACAGGGACTGATCTACCAAGATCTTGTTTAGTACTATTCCTTGCTCTACTGAGGATGCAATTAAAGCCACACTGAAAATCAATAGAACAAAATCAACACATCGAATTAATGTAAATTCGAATTTATGTTTAACATTGTATTGCTAATCCAGACGATCCATGAGACAATTTTTTATATAATCTTACATATCGTATGTCCTAATTAATACGATGGATACGAGAGTTATTTACCGAGAAAGCAGTTAATACAACTAGAAGGGAAAAAATGTTGAGAAGATTTCTACAGAAAAGAAAATGAGTCCAATTTTGGCTGTCCTCATAAGACAGCTTTTTTCATTCATCTCTTTGTTGTGCTATTGTACACCATAGGAAAATTTTTTTTTTAGAAATCTTTTCCATAATGACTTTTTTACCATTAGGATGGTAGCATTTACGTTTTGAACGCATAGTTCATTAAACTACAAAAGCAACAAAGTTCTTCAATTGACTGTATGCTTTTTGATCGATTTATATTGTATCCTGATTATTTTATTTTAAATATTTCTTGTAAATATGAGTTTTCCGGTTATAGCATCTATATACACTTTTCGTCCCGTCAGTATAAAAACCAAAAACTGAGAAAAAAATAGATATTTTTGAGAAAAAAAAATATATTGACGCTTAAACACATACATTCACATTAAATAGAAAAATAACCATATGTGGGACAAAATGCAGAAACTAACCACAAGGAAAAATGTTAGTTCCAGATTAAATACATCAACGACGAGAAAAGTCTTTTTTAGCAGATTAAATGTACAAAGGGTTCAAATGTTTGTCATCAACTGTTTATTTTTTTCCTGCTGTTTTTCTTGGTGACGATCGTTTTGTTGGCGAATTTCGAGTAAGGTTAGATTTTTTCGATGATACTAATTTTGATTTTGAATCAACCGCTTTGGTTATTGTTTTAATCGGTGACTGTTTACTTTCCAAACTAAAATATTCAAACAATGCGCAAATTATCAAATATTTGAATCGGCTGAAATTAAATGGAAGACACTGATAGATGAGCAATGCAAACAATTTTCTATCCCACAAACGATCATGTAATGAAAAAATTACTTACCGTTTCACCGGCTTTGATTTTGTACTGCCAGTGCCTGATTTTTGTCCTGCTGTATAATCTTTTTTGACTGATTGTTTCTTTGTTTTGTGCAAGTTTTGATGATCATCATCATCCGAAGCACTAGCTTGATAGGACGAAGCATGTCCGTTTATACGTTTTTTTGATAACGATGCATCATCAGTACTTTCACTTTTTTTTGCTCTTGGTTTTCTTGATGGTATACTTTTAAAATAACCGTTTGCACCTGTACCTACGAAGAAGTTTTTCCACCAAATAGTCTGTTATTTTTCAAGGCTGCATATCTTTCGTTCTTTTCTTCTTTTGCAAAGGCTTCCCCCACAACAACGCTGTGGGCAACAAGGCTGAAGGCTTTTCTTAGAGAAAATAATTAAAAAAGATGTTACTTTCTTCCCAATAATATAAAGTAAACTAATTAATTCTGAAAACTGTGTTATGTGTTTTAAAAATCGCCATCGAGACGGACTAAAAGATCTTTTTCAGTAGACAGTCAAGTACGGTTCGGATCAATGACAAAGCGACAGATTTCTTTAAATTTTTCCAAAAATCGCCTGTTTCCGACTGAAGTAGTTTCGTTATTTTCAATTTCTTTATCTTGACACTACATATGGATAAGATCCTAGTGAAGTCTCATCGAATCGATTTTCTTTTCAAACGAAGAGAAAATATATTACGTGAGACTTGAAGTATTTCTCCATTATCGACCATTTTTTGTAATGCTGTGCGTAGATGCAAATTGGTTGATGTACTCCGCTGAATATCATATATTTCCATTATATGATTCAATATCGCTTGACGTGATGATCCATTCCGTTTTTTTAATGTCTCAAGCGCTTCTTTGATCATAATCTATAAGACGAAATAGGTTGTTCACAAAATCATTGCATGTGTTTTAAACTTACCATATATGTTGGATGTTTCTTGGATGCCACATTTTGCTGGATGGATCTTGGCTCTAACGATGATATTTTTTCTAATTTTGTTTTATCAGTTTTACTACTCGTTGTAGGTGCCATTTTGTACGATTTCAAAATAAGAACGTAGCTATGAGAAGAACGTTCTGCGTTTACAATATCCGAAGTCGTTTAAAAATGACTATCGTGCTGATTTTGATAAAATGCGTCGAGCTGATAAGTCAAATAGACTTTTTCTCGACCCTTTGTCTCAGCACAATATATTTTTTTCGTTTCGTATTCACTAACGTGCGAGAAGTTCGATCAATTTTTATCGTACATATTCAAAATGTGTATGTCATTCGTAATCGGAATTCTAACACTATAGTCAGTTTTGAACAAGATAGTCATACAATTCATGCCGGACGAATATTCGGTATTGGGATACCGTCCTTCTGCTGATAAATATATCTATTTTGTCTTCAGTCCACATTGATTAAAGATGTTTTTGACCGACACTTGTCTCGGTTCAGACAGAAATGTGGTATTGATGATAGTATGTTGTTTTAAGAGAGGAATCGCTCAGAAACAGAAAAGTTATCTTCAAAACTTCGATATTGAGATATGTACATGTTCCAATCCACAGTGTCTACTTTCAGGATCTGTTAATAGTTAAGATTGATGAAGATTGGATGCAAAATTTAAGAAAAAGGCATTCTGAGGATAGGAATCCCTTTATGTTCAAATTTGTAATGAAAGAAACGAGATCTAACATAAAACAGTCTATTCTAGTCATCTTTTTTTCCACCATTTCTCAAGAACTTTTACACTATTCTATATCGTTACTATAAGGTTATTAGATAAGTTCTATTAAACATTGATATTCATCTTCTGGTGTATTCAATCAAAATTGAAATACCGTATGTTGAACTTCTTCCCCACCATAGATGGTCTCTCTTAATACACTAAGAATATCTTTTTACAAATTTCTTCAGAAAATAAATGATCATTTTTATGGAAATGAGCACTACTATTTAGAAGGAACGCCTAATAATACAATATTATACGTAGTACCATTATACTTTTTACTTTTAATTGTTTCTTTTTGCCTATTACTATAACACAAAAGTGAAGATTACAGAAGAAAAAAAACTTCAACTTGAAGCAACCGAATGTTTCGAAAGAAGAACCAGGTTAGGTATTACATAATGCTAAAATAATGTTTGATTCTCTAGATATAATATAGAGTAGTGGTTATACCGATTTCTGTTGGATTCAAAAGTTACTGTAGCACTAACAACTGACAAAACACTAAAGCTGTACAAAATGTAGATGATCATCAACGAGAACCCTACCGTCGATTTTTTAATACTTCTGATACAATGTGGCTCAAGTGAAAATTGCGCCATAATTGCGATCACAGGTTTCACAGTTGTGATTGTAGCAGCGTATCTGCTCTGTCACGAACGTAATTGTGCGCATTTGTGCTGTTACGAACACAATTACGACTTTTTTCATCGCCAATTTTATTAATTACGCACAATTGTGTGCATTGCGCGACACATCGCGGTGCAAGTTTACCGCAATCGAAACCTGGAAAGGCTTTAAAATTATTCATTTATTTTGTTTCTCATGATCAAACATTAATTGATTGAGATCGAGTTTGCACGGTTTCATGAGCATCCAATCGTAAATGCCTACAATAGTCATAAAGTACACACGTTAACAAAGAATTAATTATCAGGTAGGTCAAAGACGAATGTGGATTGTGGCAATTCATTAGCTCTCTGCTTCAAATGGAGTTAATCACAGCACAATAAAAAAAATTACTCACAATCTTCTTTAAGATTCATCTTTGAAAACACTTCTTTCAGCAAATCACTTAAATATGAATAGTTCGGTTCTTCTGCATAACCCAGTCGGCGTGCATAGTTTATAAAATGAACAAATTCTTCTGTGAAATCTTTACATAACGTACTGAGACTTGTATTCAATTTTTTTTGATAAATTTTTTCTTGTTTTTCAGTTCTTGATTCAGCTTTTATTCCTTGCCATGGAAGTTTTCCTTTCGCCAGATAGATTAAGGAATATCCAAGACATTCGAGATCATCTCGACGACTTTGCTCGATACCCATGTGGGTTCGTAACGATGCATACCTGTTGTTTTTACGGAAACAAAGAGAGATATTTATGATGAATGTTTTAGAAAAATGAGTATAAGCGAACAGATTCAATTTTATTTTGAACGAATGAGTCATCACTCTGATTTTAATGAGGTTTTCTGTTACCTGGCAGTACCTAAAGAAAGAGAATTCATGTTAGAGGACTGAATGATTAATCGGTATTTTAGAGCATACCCGTTAAACTTTTTCCTTCTCGATATTCAATATGTTGCCTTCTTCTACGATCTAAATAGTACTTTGATAAACCAAAATCAATCAAATAACATTGTTGACATTGTGCGAGAGTGCCCATAACAAAATTATCAGGTTTAATATCACGATGAATGATCCCACGCCGATTAATATGATGAATTCTAAGCATAAAATTAAAATTCTAGTAAGACTGTATCTTAATTCATCAAACATATAGAAAGTCTAGAAAAAAACTTCTCTGACGCTAAGAGTTCAAACTAAATGATGTAACCTACACCATGTAATAATATGTCGAAGAAAAACCTTCTTCCGGTTTGTCACTTGTTAAAAAAGCAGCCTTCATCTCAATATAGGAATTCAACACTTGTTTCACCTTTCCAGCATTTGTTGTCCTAATAAAAGCACAGTTTTCAATGAAAATTTTTTTCGACAATAATTAAATAAATCTTCTAAACTCGGACCAAGCATTTCCAGTACCATCACATTATATTCTCCAGCACTGCCAGACCAATACATCTATAATAACAAAGTGGTTATAACTTTTTCGTATTGTTAGATATTTTTACTCACCTTAGGCACACCCGGTCCTTCGACAATTCTATACATCTTACTTTCTCTCACAAGCTAAAACAATCCAAAATTGTGAGAATCATTTAAGAGGTTAATATTTTAGTTGAAATCATATGAAAACAGCTGAGAGTAGAGACAAATGAAATGAGAATAATTGTACTTGTGGATAATTTGTATCTTTTGATTCAAATTTCACTGCAACTTTTTCATCTGTCATTCGATCTATGGCCATATAAATGTAACCGAAAGATCCACTTCCAATGACTGAATTTATTTGCCATCGGTCTTTCAATATTTTTGGTACAATTTTAACGTTTTTCTTTTCTTTGTTATCATCATAGTCTTTCTCATGTTTATGATAATTGTAAGAATGATGTTGTTGATCTTTCTTCTGATCTCTAATTATTTGTTTCTTCAACATGAAAATAACCGATAAAGCGCAATTAGTAAAGAAATACAATCTTTTCTAAATTTACACATAGCAACAACGTCTCATTCATTTTCATTTATTAATTTTGTTTATAATTACAATTTTAATACGAAATCCGTTTGAAGCAGTATCAATTGTTCGCTAAGGAAATAACTGGAGATATTTTGATTCATTATCTACTTGATATGCTAGAATTATGGTTCTAAGCATATTTAATAGAAAAATTCTTGTTTAGTCATAAGTTTTTCTATTTGTTATCTACAAGTCATGATTTTGAGTATTGCGAGTAGAGTTACGTGTGGTTTATTTAATACTATAGTTAAAGTTTATCTTGCTGGCTTTAGTTCTCGTCAATAAGAGAGCTATTATGGTTAAACATTGGGCAAAAAATATAGCACTATTGGTTAAAAGTTCATATTAATTGTTATGTGCCATCAAATGTTTTGTAATTAGTATCAAAATGTTTTAGCATTGATTTGTAGTGCTCATAGATCTTCATGATATTTTTGCATGCTTCTGCTGCCCATTAAGTGCAAAAAATTAAAGCAAAAATAATTTGCGTGTATAGAAACATTATTTCTGAGGTAGTTGAGTCAAAAAGATGAATTATAAATTTCTCTCGAAAAGTGCCTGGAGTGCTGTTGACCATAAAATCGTTGTATTAGAGTAACCATGAAAATATAACACTTTAAATTAATAATGTGGATAGAAAAAGGTTTCGGACTGCATTCATGTGAAAAGATAAGATGTTTTTCTCCGATCTTGAATCAAAAATGATTAGCAATTTACTCGAAAAGAAATGAAATCCTTATTAGTTTTACAGGTTATACAGTCAAAGATTTTTTAGTTTTCTGTATGAAAAATCATTTTTTATGGTAATATTTCTACGGCTATGATTCTGTTCTATAGGCTGAAAATATATAAACTTCTTTGAGTTGTGTATAAAGCAGTAAATAGCCAACAAAATTGAATAAGCCTCTCCAATACATTTAGATTTTTCATAATTAATTATTACATGCTCAATTCCTGGTGTTATTATTATTGAGATCGATTTATTATTTACCAGTGAACTGTAGGTATAAAGAAGTAGAAAATCATTCAGATCTGTCAATTGTTATAGTAGAATTTTCTCATTTTCAAAAGAAATTCACGATCTAAAATACTGACATTAGTTTTTATGTATCAGTCATGTATCTCATTGATTATTCACTTTATTGTACTACTGTCAGAAGTTTATTTTTATTTTTAAATAAATTCAACTCTGCTAAATAAAGAAGCAGTGACAATCGAAGTCTTCGTGAAACTGTATTTTAAAATATTACTTTGTTATTCTAAGCAAAATCTTCATAAAGTATGCGATAGTGTACATACCCTGATGAATCTACCTTTCTTTAATTTGTTAAGAGAAAGAGATAACTGAGTTTTCTATTTCCATTGTTTTGAGTTCACACGTACAGTCTGTACGGATTTCTAATTATAGAATTGTTTTTAAATAGTTCAATCAGTGAATATTATGATGAATTTATAATCCAGTTTACAAATCATAGTAGTTTTTATATAATTTTACGACGATGTTCATTCGCAAAGGAATATTCTTCTCTGAGAATATTGTTATTTTTGTAATTAGTCTTTGCTCTTGTTGACTAATTTCTGCAATGTATTTTTACCATGTCAGTTTTTTTATCATAAATGACACCTAAACAATTTATTTATGCACTTGCTAATAGGAGAGTGTTATTGATGACTAAAAGTCTGTCTTGTAACGTTTATTTTCTCAATTAATGAATAATAGATGTTATTTCGATTTGTAAAGACTTATATAACTTATTTAACCTCTCATTGAATTATTTTATGAATGAACGGATTTTCGTATTATTTATATTGGGGATGAAAGTTTATGACTATTAGTGATAGATGCATATGATCAGAGAGTGTATGATTATACTCTGACTCTTATTGATTTGGTGAAGAAATAAATATCTTACATACAAATTGAAAAGTAGGTGATAAAGAGCAGTCTTATGGAACGCATAGGAAAGTATTCTTTATTAAAAATTTATAGTTTCATTAACATCGACTATCTTTAACTCTAAAAAACTGGCAATAATTTCGATTAACGGCGAAGACAGACCTTATTCGTTCAATTTTTCAATTAGAGTTGATGGTCATTCATCATACTGTTGAATTTTTTGTTCTTACAACTTCATGATTCTTTCATCCAGTTTATATCCAACGAGCTAGTCCATGATGTAAAACGCTTTCGGAAACCAAACTGTATATGATTCAAAAATATTTTTATGTTGTAGTTTAAAATTAATCCATAGATTCGATCTATCATCGGAATCAGACTGATGAATCAATAATGACTTAACATGTATCGAAAAGCTTTTTCATTATCTTACAATAGACATCATTTTGGTAATATGTCATTTTTTTGTATAAAATTTATTTTTCAATTTTTTGAAGAAATATTCATCAGCTTATATGTATAAATATAATTTGTAAATCCTAATATACCAGACGTTTCCAATTTTCGAATATTTGATATCTCAGCTTCAATTTTACCTAGCTGTGGCTCATTATTGATAATAGTTCTTGTATACAGTGGCGGGCCACCATTGTGGCAAAGTGTGGCAGTTACCACACCAAAAACTTTTATTCGTTATGGGTTTTCCTGTACGACTATTATTTTTAGAAGTTTCTTACACTTTTTAATAATATGCCACACCAAAAAAGATGACCCTGGTCCGCCGATGCTTGTATAATCATGATAAATATATACATCGACTTTTGCATAATTGTGATACACTCACGAATAATCATATTCAATCTTACATATGATTGAAAATCTGAATTGGTCTTCAGACTCTTGAAACGAAATCAGGAAAAAAACCTTATCTTATTAAACAATTTTTTGTTATTCTAAAATATCTTTAATTTATAATCAATGTTTTATGTTGACGGTATACATAAATTCATTTATCTTATAATTGTAGATGAATTTATATATCGAACAGATGCGCAAGTTGGTTGTACAAAAAAAATGAATGTTATTATTTCCTCTAACGTATGAATGTGAATTTAACAAATCGTATTAATAATTATTTCTTGAAGCCATGTAATTTGATGTCATATCTCTTTTTCTTAATCATGGCCAATCTAATTCAAGAAGAATAACTCACATAAATAGAGATTGTCATTTTTCTTTTGTTGTTGTTGTTTTGCAACTGAATTATTATATTCTTCTTCTTTTTTTTTTTTTCTAATAGTTCACATCAAGACATCTGCAATATAATAATTGTATTGCTATTATGATTACTAGAATGATTATTATTATTATTGTTAATATGTGTGTGTGTGTTTATGTCTCTATGTTTCCTCATTTTCTTTTCTTTTTTTTTCTTCTTTTCATTGTCCCATTATCATTATCATTTACATTAGACGGTATGATGATGATTAGTCGATATTACAAATATTAGGCTCGCTTATTTTACTCTATAATCGACATTAGAGAACATAATAAATAAACGTCATATTATTTATCTTTGATTTTGCTTGTTTTTTCGATGAAAATTTTTTTTAAATTTTTTTTTTTTCTTCTACTAAATTTTTATATTGTAAAGATAAAAACAAGTAGAAAAATACACGAATAATATTATTTGTGGAAAAAATCTTCTCATTGACGAATCGGGTACATGAAAAGAAGGAACAGAAAAGAAAGAATAGAAGAAAAAAAATCCATCTAATAAGTTGTTTAATATCAATGTATAGCATGTGTGCAAATATATTTATGCCTTTAAGATCAATTCATGGCATAGTGTAGAATAGAGAGCTCATTTGGATACTTTTTTTTTCTTTTTCTTTGTTCTATGATTAATTTTATATTATCATTATAGATATACACAGAGACAAACAAGAATTTTTACACATTATACATCTATAATATACAATACAGAGAGAAAAAAAAAAGAAAGAAAGAAAGAGACGATACAACAAGATAAACATTTTGATTCGTCTTTTTACTTTTTCTTCATAGAATTGTTGGTTGAACTTTAAACAATAAGAAAAATTTTATTATACCCATATGCTTCGAAAGTAGGTAATGCAACTGACTAGTCATTTTTTTAATCCGTTCATCTATATTAAACGGTGAAAAAAAAGTTAAATCAAGACTTTATCTCATTTTCCAATTGAAGAAATTAACTACAAATAATTAGTGTGATTTAGAGTGTATGTATCGAATTCTTCACAATAAATTTCACATTTCAGAAATAACCATTCATTGTAAAAGTTATACAATACAATTTCGATAAAATGGAAGTTTTAAGATCAGATTCTGGTGAATTTCATCTAAAAGTAATTATTGTATAAAACGTTTATTATTCAAAAGATATTAGTAGTTTTAATAATTTTGTTCTATTTTAGAATATCCAAGGATGTTCACCATTGCCGGGGGAAGAGGAAATTCTTGATGGTGAACTTGATGAAGATAATTTTTCGAGTGTAAGTGGCGATGGTGAACCCTCATCACCTTCAACATCTCAGATTGATAATAAAAGTGAAAAAAAAGAGGAATCACCAACAACTCATTCTCCGCCAATAACTACAAGTACCAGCACCATTTCATCAATAAATAATCTCTCAAGTACAGAAGATCGTCAACCAAAAACCGATTATTCTGGTCATCGTGATCGAATTGTTAAAGAACTGAAAGAATATGAAGAACGTTGGTTAGCTCATCGAAATTTTTTATTATATACTCAATCGTTTCCGATGAAACAAGAAGATCGTGAACGTGTGTTTTCACAATTATTAAACAACAACAATAACAATCCAGATGAACGAGATCAGCATCATATGTCAAAAGAGGAACGTGATCGATATTTGTCGAGTCAAGCCGCATTTTACTCACATTATCCACATTCACCACATTTATATAATTTTCACAATTTCAATCCTTATCTTGCCGAAAGGCTATTACCACCAGCTACAAGTGCTGCTGGTGCTTCATCATTTTTATCAGAAAACAAGGACAATCGTTTTCATTCGTGGCAATTACCAAGACATAGTCCAACTACAAATCAAACAGGAACAATATCAACTGCTAGTATCACAGCAACTACAGCATCGGCATCGACCACATCTGCAATACATCAACCACCGACAACAACAACCACAGAACAGTCGTCAAGTAGATCACCAAGCAGTTCAGATTCTGGAAATCAAAGTAATTCGGGAAGTACTACTGAATGGACATATGAAGAACAATTTAAACAGGTTAGTTTTATCAGATATCGTACAAGTGTAATAGAAAGTAATTGATAGTAAAAATACTTTTTAAAGCCTAGTTAGATAATTCACTACTTGATTCATCGATGAATACTCGTCTACAGTTAATCTTCATCCTTTTTTTTATTTTAACTATCATTTATATTAGAAATGAATCAATTAGAGTTATAGACTATAGAGAGATAGATTTATTTCTTCTGTTTGCACATCGTTTGGATTATTCTGCATTGAGCATGTTGTCTTTTATGACAATACAGATTCCTTTTTTAGTGGTGATGGCTTTGAGCAATAATTAATTGAAATGTTTAGTAGAAAGAACGACAGGGAAAGAGAGAGAATAATGTAACAGGTTCATATTCATTCATTCATTCATTCATTCATACACTTATCTATTATTAAAGACAATGAAATCAAAACCACATCTATCAATTTTTCTTCTCTTGATGGTGAATGACATTATTACTACATAAAATCTTTCTTTCTTAATCGTTATATTCACGCTCAGAGTATATAAACCTTTTCGATTTCGAAGCCAATGCTTTTTGAACACTTTTGTGTCCTATCAATTGCGTTCAAAAAAACGTGATTAAGGGCAATATCTACACAAAGATTTTCAGGAAATAAGTCTCTAAGTGTACCTGTCAGACATTTAATTAAAGAAATCATGATTGTTCTTATTTCATCCTACTAGGAGAAATTATAACAAAATATGGTCAACAGCTGCCAGATTTTTACGAAGACTTTTCTGTTTTCACTCGCTATACAGATAGTTTAAATAGTAGAAACCGTAAACGTAAACTTTACGATAAAATTTTCGAATTTAGTGGAAATAGATTAATTGTCTCTGACATTCAAGTGAATAGTAAGCGAGAATTTTTGAAAGAGTTTACGATAAGAGATTATCAGTTTGGTCCCAATAAATCGGTTAAAATAAGATTGAAAGTAGAATCAGTAGTAGTGCACAAAACCAATGTTTAAACTGTTTTTTCTTCTCTTTTCAATATTGATAACTAACTAATATGATATGATAAGATGTATTACATTGATTTACATTAAAACATAATTATAAACTGAAGGATGATGATCATGATAGAGTATCTGCTTTTTTTCCCTATTTGCCTGGTAAATTATAATCAGATATTATACAAGCCATGATATTATGAATTATGATTATATATTCTGGAAAGTTATGTTAACAGTTTTGTTTGTATATAATGAGAGATAACTATAAGCTCGTTTTTGTTGAATGAAAAATGTGGTGTTATAAATACTACTGAAAGTAGTAATAAAAAGAAACTGATTGGATCAAAATAAGGTCGAGTCAGTGCTAAGTCTCTCTCGTTAATATGACGACATAAAATTCTCATATGAGAGTGATCAATAGCGTTTGTAAGACGCACATACAAGAAATGTGTGCATTAACGACTGTCCGAATGATATAATGTCAATCTAGTGTCAATTATGTCAGTTGAGTCTCAATTTCCTTTTGTAAAAGTAATGTTAAAATATCCTAATGTTATTAAATTAATCACTTAATTATCTCAAACACGAAGTACCAGCTGTTGTTTATTATTGTTGTTATTATTGTCGGATAGGTTTGAAAGAATAAATTCTTTCTCTAATTTCTTTTTGTTATTCAAAATGTATCATTGATGGTAGTGAAATGCTCATTTGGATTAATTATCCAAACAAATTTTCTTACGATCAAATCCGATGATGATGATCAATTTATCGTTTACATTGAAACTAGGCAACATGTCATTACTAATTGCCTGTCGGGATTTCTTTCCCCGCTCTTTCTCTCTTTCTTTCTCTCTCTCTCTCTCTCTCTCTCTCTCTCTCTCTCTCGTATATTATTTAGATACATTCACATCCACATTAAGAAAACAGCAAAAAAAAGGAAAAGAAAAGCAATTTGTCATTTATGATATATGAACATATGAAATCAAAGTAGCCATTAAGTATTAGAGGGGGAGCTTAATCGAGCAGCTTTACTCATAAAAAATATTTATATATTTGAAGAAGAAAAGAGAGAATTATTAGTGTATGCCATTTCATCTCTCTAACACTATATCAATTAGTCGCACAGGACCACTTTGTCTGAATTTTATATAGCTAGTTTTTTTTTAAATTGATACACAATACTCTGTGGTATGCCAAAGATGTTTTGTAAATATAAAACATTTTGCTTTCCATTAAATCTAATGTCCTAGTAACTTTTGTTTTGAAGTATTGATGATGTGAGACGGAGCTTCACTAACCAAAAACATCCAATAAATTGTTGTTTTTTAAAGATTCAAATTTTTGTCATAAGTTTCGAATTATAAGCTTTTAAATAGTGATTGGTTTGAGTTAATGAACACTAACTGAAGAAGAACTATTAATAATTATAATAAACACTTTAGGGATATTGATTAATATTTGATTGCTATTTTAATATGTATATTAAAAAACAGATGGTCATCGATCATAGTTTTTGGCGCACGCGCACCATTTTGTTTCATATTCAAGGTTTCTTCTTTTAATATACCAATTTGAACAATGACGATGTTAAGGTTGAAAACAATACTAATTGTTATTCTTTTTTTTTTCTTGGTCGAAAAGAGTATTGTCTTCAAATGTAACATACTGTCAATTTGTATATTACTTTTTAACACATTGAACTTTCCTTATAACTCGAACATTTCCATTCTAATGTTCAGACTATAACTACTTTACTATTTGATAAAAATGGAAATTTTTTATTACAATATTGGACTTGATTAAGTATTGTTTATTATTGAGTCGTTTTTCTTTGTTATTAATATCCATCTTTTTTTTACTATAGTAAACAAATATCAACGAATAATTTGTGATATGAATCCAAGTTATTTTCTCATTAACTTTAGTTGAAGCAGCCGTATGGTTTACATTGATTAATTGAAATTCGATCAGAAAAGTCGTTCATGTTATTTTGAGATATCGTTATTTATGTAGAATAATTAAAGCAGAAAGAAAAGAGAACAAGCGATAAAAGAATTGTTCTTACAGCTATATACTTGGAAATAACAATCGTTGTTGATTGTCCCTGATGATTATATTCATAAATATCTCTCCATCTCTCTCTCTCTCTATATATATATTATATATTATATATATATTATATATATATATTTGTATCTGCATCTATAACAGACAGCAATCTCAATCTAAAGTAATTACTCTGTCTACTGTTTATATCAACATTTGAACTGATGCGAACCAAATTGTTATTCAAACCAAATAATAATCATTATCATCATACAATATATCTATCCATATTTTATCTACAAGGTAGTTGTTTTCGGACGTTAACGATATAAATGTTTTGCTATGCTACCGACTGACAACAATCCAATTGAACAATTGTTTATAAATTACTAGTGTTTTAGAGTATTTATCACAGATTCTATTTGGTTTTTAGCTGAATAATAAATATTTCATATTTCAAGAGATATATATTTCTCAAATCTAATATTTTATTCCTCAATGTTGAACAATTGAATATAAATTTTGATACGAATATCATTTATTGAAAATGTTATTCTAGCACAGTAATAGACTAGAAATAAGAAAAACAGATGTTATACTGTAGAGTTTTAATCGACCAAAAAAAAAAAAAAAAAACGTTTTTTGTTATTACGATATTGAGAAGAAATTTTCATATTTTATTAAAGTAGAATAAATTGTTTTTGATAAGAATAATCATGGTTTATATTTCGAAAGAAAAACGTTTTGTTTTTACATTTAAGACACGTCTGATATAGTTGTCTTTTTTTTTCTCTTTTCAGTTCTTTAAAAATACAGCTTATTTTAATATCTCATAAATGTATCGAATATGGAATATTAAAATAATGATGATGAACTTCGAAAAAGAAAGAGTCCATGTACATATATAAATAAATCGGGTTATCAATCAATCGTTGTTGTTGTTTTTTCGTAAGATCAAATCGAGCATAAAACGAGAAAAAAATGTGCACTCTTCATAGAGATACATACTCTGAAAAGCATCATTTATCACAATTACACATACAGAGAATGAAGTCCGGAACTAAAGAAGAAAAATGAAAAAAATATCTATATAAGAAATATCTATATCTAAGATAGAGAAAATGTTACGATAATTTATTTATCTAAAAGACTAAATTTGTTTTTAATACAAGACATCATTATCATTTTGGTAATCAATTAACTCTTTTTTCATAGACTGAGGTGATTTAATAATGAAACAATAGAATGATAAGGTTAAATGTAATATGGTATGATTTAGATATACTATATAAGAATTTAAAATAAAATTTTATAGAAATATACTATCATTATTTCGTTTTTCAAACATAAATAGTTTAAATAAATGTGAGTTATGTAGAGAAGAAAAAAATGATCAAGAAAAAGATTATATAAGATATGAAGAATAATATGTTATATCAATAAAATCAATTAGTATACAAATCTAATATCATGAGCATACTTTCAATTTTTAGGAGAAATCAATGACAGGACATTTTTTGTTGTTGAATATCCTACTACTACGGTTAGAGAGAAGTCAAATACCATTTAGTATAGATAGTGAGCAATTTGATTTCACTAGTCGAACATGACACGGTTTTCAAAGCAATGAACCACTACTTTGAATCCGGTATAAATCTTTACTACTCTAAATATCAACTTATCAAAAACAACAATAATAGAAGCAACAAAACGAAAAATTTCTAGAAAATTAGGTTTGTTTTTGGCTAGATATTCATGTAATTGTCCACTGTGTTTGAACCATAATATACTAAAGTTTCTTTTGCTACTATCAAACTATCAAACGACATCTCGGTTTGTCATTTTATTTAATTATTTTTTTCTTTTTTTGTTTTATATTTTAGTTGTATGAATTATCCGATGAACCCAAACGAAAAGAATTTTTGGATGATTTGTTTTCTTTCATGCAAAAACGAGGTAACGTATAGAATTTTATTCTATTAGTTAATATTAATAATTCCATTAAGTAAGATAAAAAGTTTTTTTTTTTTTTTTTAAAAAAAACGAAGAAATTCCTGTATTTTTTTGTGCAAAAAATTTCTTTTAAGCATAAAGAGAAAAATGCATTTTGAGAAGGCGCATGTGTTGTTCAACAGATTAATACAAAATGAGCAATCTAATTAAAGCTACTATTTTTATTTATACAAAATATTGTAGAACTCGGTAAATCATGTGAACAAAGCGAGAAGAAAAAAAAAGAAAGAATAAAGGAATTGTAGTAATAGTTAATTTAAAAACAAGGACCTCTTAGTCTAATAATTTGCTTTAGGGCTAAATATATTGATTGAAATTAGAGTTTTTCTGATATATATTGTTAATGTAATCATCTTTCTTTTATTGAAAAATCGTATGTAAAAATGCCTTGGAATAGTGGAAAAAAAAATAATAATAATCTTCAAACACTTTATTCATCATAATAGAATAGTAAATGATATTTAATTTAGCGAATGAAATGTACAAAAAAAGTTTTCTAAATAGGCTAAAACTATGAATAATAAAACTATGCTTAAAACCTACATGTATTTAGATAATTAAAAATTTAAAAGTCTTTAAGTCTTGTTGATAGAAAGATGTTGTTATTTATTATCAATTATTAGAATATTATGAAGTATTTGTGATAAATAATTCGTCGTCTTTAAATTTCTTTTGTACACACTATGAACAACAACTTAGCAATAATAAAATGAAAATAACATTTAAAAAAGGCGAATAAATTGGATTTTAATGCATATGGCTAAGAGTATTTAATCTTGCAATATGGACGCTTCAATGTCAGATCACATACTTTTCCATCTTTCTCTTTTATCTCTTTTTGATTGGTTTGGATTTGTCCTATTGTTTGTCCAATCAATAGCCATTCTTTTTCATTTGACAAATCATTGAGCGTGTATTTAAGTATAGGTACTATTTAAAGAATGCTTTTTAACGTATGCCGATTTTTTCATTTAATTGATGATTTTTACAACGATTTGTTTTCAATGATGAAAAAACAATATGCATATTATTTATGTATAGAAGAATGTGTTTATCAAAGGGTACATATTCATCAAAATTAGAATATCTTTTTTGTTTTGCTTTTCTTGAGTTAAAATAAAAGTAATTAGTCGGATAGTGTATAGGTATATATATATATATATTATTTAGAACACGTACAGATGATGATGATGATGATGATGACTTTTCAATCTTTCTTCGTTTTTTTTATTTTCAAAAATATAATTTGCTTAAGTGTCTACATTCTTCTTCTTCTTCTTCATCTACACAAACATATCTACACACAAATGATGATGAATGACGATGATGGATACTGAAACATTTCTTTTCACTTGTATTGTGTATGTCCAATATGTTTTCAACATTATATTTACCGGGAAATAGAAATCAATGGATATATAGTTCAAAGTGAACTTTGAAACAATCTTTTCACTTGTTATAAACGATCATATGATAGTATGTTCAATAAAAATGATAGCGGAAGTTTTTCTCTTTTTTATAGAAGAACTTTTTCTTAAGATATTGATTAAAAATCTTTAAAATATATCAAGGAATGCCACATGATGAGTGTCGACAGATGAATATAAAGAACAGCTTGTTTATAGTAAACTAAACTCTTTTCGTTTTTTTTTTTATAACAATATTTGGTAGAGAGATAATGAATATATGATCGGATTAAAAAATCAGTACGAAACACAGAGTGAAATCTCAAAGTTAACGTTAAGAAAAATGAGAAAAATAAAATTTTTCTTATATAAAATTGCTTAAAAATGATAAATTATAATACAGATACCAGTTTTATATATGTGATTTGAAAATAATCAATCATAGAGACAACATATTAGATATTAATAAAAACATGTATAATAGTTAAATACATCAGAGTAGTTAAGTTAACTTTCTTTTAGTATCATCAGTAAACGATTATCATCATCTTCATTAAATATTGTGTATTATTTTATTTCAGGTACACCTGTGAATCGTATCCCTATAATGGCTAAACATGTGCTTGATTTATACGATTTATTTCGTCTAGTGGTATCTAAAGGTGGTCTGGTGGAAGTTATTAACAAGAAATTATGGCGTGAAGTGACGAAAGGTTTAAATTTGCCTAGTTCGATAACAAGCGCCGCTTTTACATTACGTACACAGTAAGTAAGACGAATGATGTGTACATCTAATTTTAATATAATCATTGTCAAATTTTCGGTATGTTGATGAAATAACTGTCCTATATCTAATAAATTCAAATTAGATGTAAATATGTATATATATCTATATATCTATGTTGTAAAAGATTAATACTCTCCATGACATAATAAAAAAATTATTGTCAAAAGTACACATATACACATACACAGTTATAATAGTTTGGTGAATTGTTTGTTGGTAAAAAAAAAACAAAATGAACATGAGATGTCAGTTCATCGCACAAATTTAATGCCAATCCTCAATAACATATGTTCTTTGCCTTCTTTGTTTACATATATCTTACTCCTGTTGTCATTTATACATACACAGAGAACAATTGTTTACAATAAATTTCGTTTCCTATATAGTCTACTCAGTTACTTATTTCTATCAATTTTATTATGGCTATTATTATTACTATTACTGTCGGAAAAAATTGTTGTAAGTTATTATTAAGCGAAATAATATGGTTTTGTTGATTATGACAGTAATAAACGATTGTGTGTATATAAAGTGACCTTCATATAAAATAAAAACAACCTCCTTCCATTATGATTGCATTAAAGGTCTCAAAAGGAAATTCTTTTCTTTCTTTTCTCTCTAGTAATAATAGGAATCATATATAGAACATGAGACGATATAATAATATCATTGGTGATAAATGATTATATGAGAGAGAACTGTTCGTTGTTAATTATAATAATGATACAAGCTTCTGCGTTTAGGTAACAACAGCTTAATATACAGAAAGTTAAAGAATAATAGGATAATAATTCCCAGACGAGAATATGAAGTATTCAACAAAAAAAAAAAATATAATAATAATAATAATAATAATAATAATAATAACGATGTTACAATATTGCATTGTTCGAAGGGTCAGTAGATTAAAAGTGATATTAAAATAGACAAAAAAACAAAAAAAATTTCATTTATTATATTGTAGTTTATGTTTACTTTATTGAATTCTAAAAAAAAGATTCGTTTCATCGCGATCATTATTATATTTATTAGACATTTTTCTTTTTCTTCTTGCTGATGTCTATTGTGAATCATTAATTATATATGTCATCGCTTACTTTCAATTAGATGGAACGTCAAATAAAAAATTATAGTGAATAATGAGTGAGACAAATATTGATATAGAGATATCATTTCACAAAAAAAAAAACTATCATAGTCAATAATTATAGATAGACTTTGAAAATCTATCGCCGCCCACATGTTCAATTGTTTTTGACATAACACGAAAATTTTAATTAATGACAAATAATTTTGTTTTTATTTTTCTTAAATTTTAACTAAATACTAGATAATTTTTGTCTATTTTATTTAGATATATGAAATATTTATATCCATATGAATGTGAAAAATTACAATTAAGTTCACCAGGAGAACTTCAAGCGGCTATTGAAGGTAATCGACGTGAAGGACGACGACCCAGTTATGCATTTGTAAGTAAAAAATTTCATTCTTTTTGTTTTTGTTTTTTTTTTTGCTTATAATTAATTTTATTTTCAATCATTTAGGAATATTCTTCTCCACCAAATATTATGCCACCTCCTCCGCCACCACAAGCATCATTTTTAAACAGTCCACTATTAAATAGAACATGTAAGTTTGTAAAGAAAATTTAAATATTTATATTAAAAATATATTGTTTAATTTATAATATTTTAGTGGAAAATAGTCATGGACATGATGCTTTACAACATCATGTGGCATTTGCAGCAGCACATCCATTTTTTATTTCACGTGATAATGGTATGAACAATGAAGCACGAGCATTCGAAGAAGTAACAAAAGCGTTTGAACGTGCAAAACGTAGTTTATCACCATCACCAACAAAAAGAGAAGAAAATTGTAGTCCAGTAAAAAAAGTTTCAACAGGTGAAAAAATTATATCGACAACATCAAATAATAGTGGTCTATCGGCCTTCACAAAATTAAAAATAATTGCAAAAGGTTTGTTTATTAAGTCATTTTTTTTATTCTCAATTTTTATCTAAGAGACTTTTTTTTATTCTTTTTTTTTATATTTTATGATTTATTTTTTAGACAATTCTGATCAACAAGAAAAATCGATAACAATTTCAGTTGAAGTAAATGGTATATCATACCAGGGAACATTATATGCAAATTCAATTTAATTAAAACTTTAATGTTGTACATTCTTCTGCATGTTGTTCGTGAAAGCTCACCGTTTGGCTTCCTATTGAAGTTGCAGTGAATATTTTTTAAATGTTAGACGTTTAATTTACTTTATTCAGATATATGAGTAATAAAGACATGTATATCTACATATTGTATTTTTGATATAGAATAAAATAAATTTCAACAAAGTGACGTTTTAAAAATATAACCGTATATTATGTCAAAAGTCTAGAAATAGATTCATAAACAGAGATGGGCAATTCCATCTTCGGAATTGAACTTCTTTTTAATGGAATTGGCGTTAAGTTGAAATTACGTTTTTATTAGACTAGAGTTGAGTTAACTAAAGATTTTTTCAACTTTAATTCCACAACTCTAGTTGAAAATTTTTACAAGTCTGACAATTGTTTCCGTTTTTTGTTGAATTGTTAAAATGACTTTTTTTCTGTGTACACTCTCGTAAACAAAAGCGAAATAAATAACTGCTAATAAAATAACGAAGAAAATGAATCAGGATAAAATAAGCTCCTATAGAAGTTAAAGCGGAGTTGGAATTAGAGTGGGAGTTGAAATTCTTTAAGTGGAATTGGAGTCGAACTTAGCTGGAATTGCACATTTCTGTTCATAAATCATTTCTTTTGCATTAAAACAAATGAGCTAGTTTAGTGAATTTATATGATTACCTTCTTGCAAAGTAAATAAAAATACGATTGTCACTTAAATAATTTGACTGTTTATTCAATTTTCACCTTTTCTTTGACTTCAATTTATATGAAAATACTTTAATAAAATTTTTCTATTCTTTTTTTTTATCATTTTTTTCTTATATGAAAATAATCGAATTTCAAATGTGACTTTCATCTTATTGATCAATGATATAGTCAAAAGAGAATATCATTAATATTTACCTTGAATAATTATATTTTTTATTTCTTTATCACCATAAAATACAAATAGCAATAGTTAAAACTAGAAAAGGGACGGAAGTACAATTGATATATTTATAAATTTCACTATGTAATTAGCATTTCTATACTCAACAAATGTTGAGTATAGGTAAAAGTTTTTAAAAAAAAAAGAAAAGAAAAAAATACACACACGCACACACATAAAATATTCTAGCTTAGTTTAAAAATAAAACATTTTTAAAAACTTATGAGCAGATTAATAATTTTTTAGTTATTGCGAAGAAAAATAAAGTAGTAAAATCTACTTTCAAATTCCACTGTTTTTAACTTTATGACGCTAACTGTTTCATTAATGTGCCCACAATTATTTACAAATGAAAAAAAAACAAATTATTTTAAAAAAAAAATTGTTCATTGCAATTTCTTCATTCTTCGTCTTATCAAACAGACGAAACTATGGGTCATTACTAGTGAAATAATCGCTAAACAAATGAATAATAGCATAAAGTCATCACAGTTCATCACACATATTTAGACTTTTACATATTTTTGAATAAATAGAGGCTGTCTCGATCCATAGTAAGTATATATTATGATTCGCACGATTAAAAATGTGTTCCCTTTAGGATAAACGTTCTTTCCATCGTTTCTATAGAAGAGTTTTTCAAATACTTATGATTTTTCTGTATAAGTAGATATTGACGAATGTCGAAAAAATTCTGTTCAGCATGTTTTTGGCTGATGCTTATTTTCGATTCTATAGAGGTGCCAACAGTAAAAAATGGCTGTTTCTCGTGCTAGCACTTCAGCTAAAAAAACTTACGACCGAATTGAAGTTTTTATCAGAGACCTAGTAATTCTAAATACACAACAGACGAAAACCATAACACTTTTTTTCTTCGCTACAGCAAAGTGATTACGGAATATATTTTTTAATATATTTCAGAAAAATGATGATAATTTTATAAAACTTATTGTTTGTCAGAGCTAAGAGACGTTTTATTTTAAAGAGAACACTTCTTGCTATATACTCATATCATTTCTTTTGGTCTTCGAAAATGGGTGGAGACTATCTGTAATTTACTGATAAACACTAATATATGCAATTTACCTGCTGTGATGCTCGTAATGGTGAATTTGTTATGATATTTCGACGTATATTTACCTAAAAATTTGTACAACAGAAGTTATCAGGATTTATGTATAACAATCTACTTTACCTCTGAATTTTCTAGTCCATCTTGTATTGCTAATATTTTTTCTAAACGATCCAACTGCATACAAACGATACGTTTAATTGATCTTAAACGGTCAGATACTGCTTTCACATCACCAACAAAACGCATTTGATCACCCGATAATAATTTAGCTGAACGATCTTCGAGATTACAAAGTTTATCTTCGAGTATACGTAAATCATCTAATATTCGAATAAAACGATGTAATTTTGTTCGATTAATAGTAAGATCCGATTCATTTTCATCTACTGGTTCTAAATTACGACTAACATTTTCTAAGTGTTCTAATTGATTTAGAATTCCTGCCATAGTTTGGCCTAATTCTTCATTATGAATCAGATTAGCCTAAAATAAAATGATAAATAAATAAATAACTTTTAGCCAAAATGAGAATATACCTTTAATTCACGATGTTCTCTATTGGCTTTTACAAATAAGAAACTAAATTTATCTTTAATAGTGTTTAGACGATGTTCAATTATAGATGATTCACTGCTACCATCATTAAATTGCTCAGCTATCTCCATGGCACTATCCAGTGATGTTTGTAAATCATCTAAAATGGATTAATGATAAATGATTGCTTGCTTACTTCTAGTAATAATATTGCAATCTTTACCTAAACGTTGTACCTGACTACGATGTTCTTCTGCTTGAGAATAAACAGTTCTCGGTACTGTGAGAATCAAAGATATAATATTCATTCAATACAAGTTTAGATAGCACAGTACTACTTACAGAATCCGTCAATGTCGGTATATTGTTCGGCAGCATTTTCTAAATTTTCTAAATTTCTTTTAAAACGTCGCCATTGTTTCTGATTTGTTTTTAATCTTCCATCTTTATCAGATGCAAGGATTTGTATACGTTTCCATCGATTCATTAGATCTAAAATAATATCGTTAAATACACAATCTACTCTGTACATATTTAAAAAAGACTTACCAACAACTACTGGATCATTGTTCAAATCACTACCTATTAATGGACCTATTTCCTGATCAATTTGACTAATAAGCGCTTGGACAGCATCCACTTTTCGTTGGGATGATGAGAGAAGATGACTCTTTAAAAAAAAAAGAAATTTACATGTTATATAGAACAATTAAGTCAGAAATGAGTAAAACATACATAACTAAATTCATTTGGTGTTTGTTCAACATGAACACCCACGGGTGTTGCTGCTCGTAATATTTCTTCTTTTGTCAATATATCACCGTTTGTTTGTAAAAGAGCATCCTCAAAATCGGCAAACAATTCTTGTGCATGTTGGCTAGTATCAAATTCTTGTTGATCATATCGACCCGATTTTGGTGTTATTTCTGGTTGACGTGGTCGTCTTGGCGAGCGTGATCTAGATGGCGATGGCGTGAATCGTTTTGGAGATGAAAATGGCATAACAGCATCAGTTGACAAAATAGATGATGTCATGTGTAATGGAGAAGATTGTAAACGTTCTAATTCACGCTAAAATTGACAAAAGAAAAACGAAATGAATAAAGTTTGTCTGACATAAACAATCAGAATACAAAAAAGAAAAGAAGTACTTACTTCATTTATATGTAAAAGTTTTTGCTTCAATTTTTTAATTCTTCTTGTTAGATCTCGTAATTGTTCACAAAATGTTGTCAAATCATTTGCATTTATTGTTAAATCAACTGTTTTAGTTAATAAATAATTGGCACAAGTTCTAACATATTCAATTTTAGATTGTTTCTCTTGAATTTCACGATCCATATCCTAGAAAAAACAAAAGAAAACAAAAACAGATTTTAATATTCATTAATAATATTCTTTATAGTTAACTTACATCCAGTTGTCGTATCTTTTCCATTGGTGGAGCTTCGGATAAATGTTCTAAATTTGTTAACAATCCATCCAAATCTGCTAACCATAATGCAAGAGAGTCTTGTGTCAATTGGAAATCATCATGAACACTTAACATGTATTTGAGCTAAAAAAAAAACAAAACAATATTAATAATATTTTAACAAAAATAAATAAAGTTAAAAAATAGAGAATATTACATTTTTCATGGTTTCATGTACATTTGCCGTTAATTTTTCCCATCTATTGTTAATATCATTTACTTTTGATTTTATTTCACCATTTGTATCAATAAAATTATTTTGTATCATTTCCGAATATATTTCATTAATTTGTTGAATTTCTTTTACATCACCGTCCAATGTTCGTTGAAAATTCTATACAGAAATACGATAGAATAAAATTAATTTAAAAAAAAACAAACCATAAGATATATTAGAATTACTTCTAAAGTTTTGTATTCACTTCGTACACCATTTATTCCTTTATGTTCAATACTTTTTATTTCTTTTATAAAACGTTCATGATCACTTAGTAATTTTGATGCACGTTTAAGTAAATCATCAACATTTTTCCATGATACATTCATATTATTAAGTCTAATAAATCAAAAACAACAAAAATTAATATTATCAATAAATTGAAGATTATTAATATGAAAAAAAACAACAACACATACTCATTTTTTCGTCTTTGAACAAGTTCTTTTACACTTTTCCAACGTGTTTCTAATGTTTTCATTGATCGTGGTAAAGAATCGATATTTCTTGGTTTTATATCATTATCATTTAATAATAATTGTCCTAATGATAGAATATGATTTATAATGGTCACATGATTTTCAATATCAGATTCAATTGTCTAAAATAAAATTAAATATAATTATCATCTACTGTAAAAATAAAACTATAAACTAAATTTATTTACATTAAGTATTTCTTCATGTGTGCGTACTTCAACTGCATTAAATGTACTTAAAGAAAATGGTTGTTGTAGTTTTGTTTCAACATTATCAAGCCATAATCTTAAATTTTCTGAACCGGTTTCGAAATCATGTAACGTTTTTAAGGTTGTTTCCGTCTTTTTTATTCTAAAATTTAACAAAATAAAAAATTATAAATTAATTTAAATTTAAAAAAAAAATTTACCGTCGTTCAACTTGATCTTCGGCATTGTTTAATACTTGTTCTAATTGTTCGATATTTTGTTTGATTATATTTAATTGATTTTGATCATTATTACTCATTTTTGATTGTAATACTTTTGCTTGTCCAATTAAATCATTAACATGACGACGTTTTTCATTTAATATATTTTTTATATCTGTTTTAAGTATATCAAGACTAGCTATACAATGGAGACAGAACAACAACAAAAAACAAAATAAATTTAGATGAAAAATACCTTCAAGCGTAAGACCATTAATTCGATGATTCATATCTTCATTAACAAAATATTTAAACCAGTCTATTAAACGATTAAATCTCATATGAAAGTCACTATATTCAATATGTTTTTTTGTTACAGAATCAATTAATGTTATTAGTATTCGTTCAGCATCATTCCATTGTATTTCAAGTAAACTAAATGGAAAAAAATAAATAAATAAATAAGAAAAAAATTAATTTATTTTTTAATATTTTAATAATTATATAAAAATATAGATTATATCGAAAATAGAGAATGATAAAATAATACAAACTTTAATTTTTGCATTAATTGTCGACTATCATCTGGATGAAGTTCTGTTGACATATCAATAACCAATTGTCGAACACGTTGTAATTCATGGCGATGTTGAGACAATTCATGGTCTTTTTCCTGTTAATATATGTACAAATAATCGGACAAAAGAAAAAAGATTTTCTTCGTTGTTTTTTTTTTGTACGTGACTAGAGATAAAATTTTATTATTTATCCTTGAGTTCATAATTAGATGAAACAAATAGATTTTTATGTATATGATAATGAATTTTAGAAAGAAAAAGAAAAAAGGTTTCATTTGGTGTTTTTTTTCACTGAAATTTGAACCATTGTGTTCACTTCTTTTTTTTTTTTTTTAACACGAAGAAAAAATAATCTATCGTATATTTAAACGTACTTGACATAATTGAATAATTCGATCAAATGTACGATTTTCTTCATCATTCGTATTTTGTAATGTTCGAACCGATTTGACTAATGTTGTTAAATCATCAATGGAACGATCAGCTTCATTATAACGAAGTAAAAGCTAAAATGATGATAAAACAAGTTTAGAGCTACATAATATGTCAAATATAAAAATATTGTCCTTAAATAAAAAAACCTGGTTTTTTTTATATTAGCCGTATTTATTGTTTAATT